TCCTCCTCCTCCTCCTCCTCCTTCTTCTTCTTCTTCTTCTTCTTCTTCTTCTTCTTCTTCTTCCAAAGCAGCCATATTTTCTCCAGGTAAAACTGATCTCTGTCTCCCGGGATTACATCGAGTTCCTGGAATTACAAGCTCGTTTGCCCGGAAGGACAACGGGTGGCTGGCAACCCCGTGCCGTTCCCCTGTCTGCGCATCACCTGGCCATTAAAAGCCCAGGAGCGGGGGTTGGATAGGCAGTTGGCAACCCACCCCCCCTTTCTGCCTGTTCAGTTGTAGCGTCCCCCTGTGGAATTAGAGAGGGGAAGGGGGAGAGAGAAGAGGGTATTCTTCCAATCTCTTGTTTGGATTCCAATCAGATCCGAAAGGTTACTGTGGCAAGAGATGACGTCGGCGGAGAACTTGGTGTTCTTCATCTTCGGGGGGGGGGCCTTGCAACCCTCCCCCCTTTAATGCATTGGCAGGAGCTCCCCGTACTTAATGCAGTTTACATCTCCCCCCCCACACACACACCCAGAGAGTAAATGGCTCGTGTCAGAGGGGGAGGGGAGGCTGAATCATCCAGGCCCGCTTCGGTCAGACTCACCGCCCTGCTTTTAGCAGTCTTGTGATTCACCGCCGTTCTCTTTGTGGGCAGGAGAGGACTCGACCAGCGTGTTTCCATCCCGCAGTCCCCACCGGACTGACAACGAACGACTTTCTTGTAAACATACTCCGGGGTGCCATTTGGTGTCGTGGTTAAGTGCGCGGGCTCCCCTCTTCAGCCAGTTTGGTGGTGAACCAGTTTGTTGTGGTGGTTAAGTGCACGGACTCTAATCTGGGAGAACCAGGTTTGATTCCCCACTCCTCCACTTGCACCTGCTGGATGACCTTGGGCAAGCCGTAGTTCTGCCAGAGCTGTTCTTGAAAAAAGAGCCATTTCTGTCAAGAGCTCTCTCAGCCCCACCTGCCTCACAGGGCGTCTGTTGTGGGGAGGGGAAGGGAAAGGAGTTTGTGAGCCGCTCTGAGACTCCTTTGGGTAGTGAAGGGCAGGGTGTGAATCCAATCTCTTCTTCTCTCTTCTTGTCTGAAGATCAGTTGTAATAGCCAGAGGTCTCCAGGTGCCACCGGAAGATTGTCAACTCTACCTGTGCAGACTTTTAAAATGCCATACCCCCACGGCTGCTAGCATGGATGCGTGGAAACTGAGTCGGGTCCAGGTTTCCCGGACTGACTCGCTACAAAACTTCACCTGTGGTTTGACCCTGGGGACTTTCCGGGTATGGCCCAAATCCATTTCAAGGAAGCGGAGATCTGGGCGGAGGAATGCACCTCCTTGCTTTTCCGTGCTCCTCCCTGCGCATTTGTAAATAAATGATTAATCCCTGGTTAATGTTCTCTCTCCTCCCTGCCCCTGCTTTTCTTCTACGTTAAAAGCCCCCGCACGAGTTCGAGTCTTCCCTTGTCGGGAAGATGCTCCAGGGCCCTTTGCTAATTTTAGGTGCTCTTTTCCACTCTCTTTTCGGCTGCCTCCGAGATCTCCTTTGTATCTTCGGAGAAGTTGGCATCCTCCTCCAGTTCCCAGACAATCCCTCCACCACTTTTATTCGAGAGCCAGCCCACCTCTCTCTGTCTCTGTCTCTCTCTGTCTGTCTCTGTCTCTCTGTCTCTCTCTCTGTCTCTCTCTCAGCTGTCAGCCCCAAGAAAGAGGTTTGGGGGATCTCTCCTCCTCTTTCTCGCCTTCCCTCACCCCCTCTCCTACTCGAGGCAGGAAAACACAGTCGAGGGAACCTATTTTCCGTGCATCTCAATTTTCCGGAGGCGGCGCATCAACAAAAGGTAGGGGGTGCTGAAAGGTCCTGGAGCGGTGGGTGCTGCTTCCACGCCTCAACAGCTGCATTTTGACAACTCCATAATTAGTGGGTGCCGGCTGGTATTTCAGCTGAGGGGGCTGCTGGGAGTTATGGCAGGGCCTCTCCAACCCGCCTTGGATCCCTCCTCGGCAGGAATATTAATTTTCAAGAGCGAGACACGACAGCAGAGACCCTTGGGGTGGGCCCCGCGCTTCTGGGGGCGATGCACAAGGACCCCTGGGACACCCTCTTTTGTTCAACTTTCCTTTGCCAGGGCTGGCTTCATATATATGTGAATGTGGGCTCAGGTGTTGTTTGAGCAGGGTGGTAAAGGCTTCGCTTCGAGAGGGTTGGGGGATTCAGCTGCCCAAGGATCTCGGTTTCTGTTTAAACAAGGTACATGTTACTAGTCCCTGTGGCTGCGAAGACATAAGAACATCAGAGAAGCCAATGTTGGATCAGGCCAGTATCCCATCCAGTCCAACTCTGTGTCACACAGTGGCCAGAAATACCAGTGCCATCAGGAGGTCCAGCAGTGGGGCCATGACTCCAGAAGCCCTCCCACTGTTGCCCCCCCCCCCAAGCACCAAGAATATGGCCATCAGGAGGTCCAGCAGTGGGGCCAGGACACTAGAAGCCCTCCCACTCTTGCCCCCCCCCAGGCACCAAGAATACAGAGCATCCCTTGCCCCAGACCGAGAGTTCCTATCTAGACCTTGTGGCTTATAGACCTTGTGGCTTATAGCCACTGATGGACTTCTGCTCCATA